CATTCTGACATCCATTTGTTTTTTCTTTGCACGAGTGTTGTGAGGGTGATGCGTATCTATTGCTTGCGGTGGTAAGCTTGGTGTCTGAGATATGTTCTGTTAGTTAATACGAATGTAAAAACATAGAAAAAAAACTTGAAATATAAAAATGCAAAATATGCAATGTATGATGTATGCAATTTGGAGGCATTGATCCAGAAAAAGTGTTTATTATTATAAACAATCCTTATTCAGACAAAAATGTTTTATCTTTTTAGAGACATAAAAACAAATTAAAGGTACATTCGGACTAAATCCTCTAGACCCCGAACAGCTTCCAGTAGGTTGACAAGTCTTATGCCTTCATCTGTCATTGGTTGAATGCCTTGTCGAACCACTCCAGCTTCCCTTGCTAGGCCGTGAAGATGACGGGCTGCTTTTTGCACTTGATCCAGGAAATTTCGGATGGTTGCATCTCGGGCCCTCACCCTTCGATGTGCTTGTTCCCAACGGAAACGCCATTGTAATCCTCCGTCGAAAGGCACCATCTGAAGCTCGTTTGCTTGCCTCTTGAACCCATCTACAATAGCTTCTAACTCAGCTATCGTCTTGCCATCTTTCTCATGTTGTTTCTCTAAGTCAGCTACCCGAACTCTCAAGTGTTGGTTCTGATATTGACTATCTGCCAAGCGTCTTTGGGCAGTCTTCGTTTGTTCTTTCCAAGCTCTCTCATCAGGCCCCTCGAACTTCCTTTTCAGGCTATGAGCTTCGTCTTTCCAGTATTCAGAGGTTACCTTCAACTTGGAGTTATCCTTGACCTTATCTTGATACCCCTTTCTCAAGTCTTCGAGCTCAAAACATACTCTTTTTTGCTCTCTTTCCAGTTTATCTGCCCGATCTTTCTGAGAGTCAGCATCAAGCTTCCACTGATAACATTCAGCTTCAAGTTCCCTTATCCTCTGCTTTAGCTCATTATTCACAGCTTCAAACTCGGTCTTGGCTATCTCGAGTTCAGAAGGGACATGCCTGAGATGTTCCTCCATGGTACGGGTGTCTTCATAGTCTGGCACCGGAATATTGTCATTTTTCCTTAACCTTCGCCACTCCACATAATCAGGAGTAAGCATGCTTCTGGCAGCTACAACATCCATTCGGAATACTTTCCTCCATGAATCAGCTACTTCTTTGATCATCTTCTTATAGTTGTCACCGTGATACTCAAACTCTGACCTAGCTAGTCCGTATGTTGCTGGGACAAACTGACGTGCCCCATACTGTCTAAGTGCTAACAATGGAGCATACCCAACTGCACCCCAAAGTCCAAGTAAGGTCATAGTGTCGGAGTCCCCACATCGGAAAAGAACGTCACTGAGGAATAACCAGGGGGCTCTCCAGACAATATCCCGGTCCTGAAGATGCGTAAAAACCTTCATCCATTTTTCCTTTGAGGCGCCTTCATGCCATTTCCTGGTAATGAATTCACCTAGAGGTGAATATGTGGTGCTGAAACGGCGGTAGGCAACCCCGTTAGTCTTCCAGAAGTGGCTGTGAATCCAGACTTGAAGGAGCTGAACACACCCAGTGAACCTTCTTCCGCCAGTTCTTCTACAATGATTGAGAGATCGGAAGGTCTCGGCTAAGATGGTCGGTGCTGGATTGACTCTTCTCGAGAGTTGCTCGAATAGTTCCACTACGGTGGCATCGATGTATCCCAAGGTCTTTGGGAATATAATTAGACCATACAGACCTAATGCAAACAGGTCTATAGTCTTCCACTCATCGGGATGGTACTTCATCAGTTGATTGATATGAAGCCAAGCGATTCCTTCTCCATTACCCTTACATCGAGCTCGGTCAGTTACCCATTTTTCATCAACTCCGGCAACCTTAGCTAGTGCATTTTTGAAAGGTTGACTTTTAATGTGCTTAAGGTAGGCCCGCTCGAGTTTGATGTTTTCACAATGCAGCAGTGTAGTGTACTCTTCTATGGTGGGCACCATGTCTTCCTGGTTAAAGGTGAAGCAACTGTATCTCGGGTTCCAGAATTGAACCAAGGCTCTGATTAGGGGCTCATAAGTCTTAACATGAAGCAAAAGTGCAACATCACCGTACCGTTGGCTGAACTTTTGTTTCACCTCATTCTTCCAACCGTCCCAGATGTCCCGAAGCTCTTGCACGTCATTCTGCTTTAGGCTGATCGAGGCATAACTAACCAGCTCTGACACATAGTTGCTTTGAAGACTGTCTCCCTTTTCCTTCTGAATCTTCTCGGATCATAGTCGTACCTCGGGGTTTTTAATCTCTTGTATTACAACACCTTTATCCATTAATTCAGATTATTTTGTGCGTAATAAATGTCTTTTTAGGGATCAATGGCCTCTTGTTATGATGCAAATGCTAAAGAACAAACACAAAGGCAAAAAGTTAGTAAAAGTATAAATAAATAAATAAATGAAAAAAAGAAGAAAAAAAAATGGCAAGGGAAACAAAACATAGGGACAAAAACATGGTTAGGTAAACAATGTTCTAGGTTTTGGAATGTGGTTTTGGGGTAGGCTCTATTTCTTCAAAAGTCTCCCGGTTTAGGTTCTAAAACGGTACTCGAGTCCTCCTTGCCGGTGCCCCCTTGGGCTTAACAGACCCTTAGTCCTAAACCCATCACAGGCTTGTGTGGACTAAGTTAAACTCGAGGGGACACATTCCCTTATGTCTATGCGGAGAATAAATTCACACGAAGACATAAGGTATATGAATCCTGAAGGCTACTTGCTAGGCATATGCGGTGAATAAATTCACACGAATGCGTCGCTTTCACCCCCACTTAAAGGGTTCGGAGCTCGGGTATAGAGCCTTTGGATGAAAAAGTTTGGAAAGCTTTAATCATTAGAAAACGGTCAGTCCAACTATTTACTCGGGAAAAAAATATAACCAAAAAGTAAAGTAATAAGGATCGAAATGTTACCTTAAAGTTCAAACTTACCCTTTTCATTAAAAAGACAACTGGAAATTACCTTAGCCTGACTCGCTTACCTGGGTCCCCAGCAGAGTTGCCAAGCTGTCGGAACCGTCTTTCGGTTGGGCCCCGAAATTTGGCTTCGACTTGAATGAATGTGGATTGGAGTCGCCACCGATCATCTATTAAAAAATAAATGGGTTGATCGGATACCTTATTTCTTACCTGATCTGCGTCTTACCAAAGATGTGTCGGATTCGGGAGTCGGTTACAGTCAAGGAAGGGTTAGCACCCTTGAACTGCCCTTTCGGTACTATGTAATTTCCAGTTGTCTTTAATTAAGAAAATTGCACCTTTAAATTAAAAGGTAAGATAACGATCCCAAAATTACTTACCTTTGATTGTTTGAGATACCCTTAAAAAAATAGAGACGTTAAAGAACGAGAATGAATAAAGTAAAAAAAGAAACACACATGAAGATAAAATAGAAAATAAAAAAAGGTAAATAAGCAAAGTAAAATAAACAAATAAACGGAATAATGAAGCTAGAGGTAACATACACATAAATAAAATAATAATAATGAGACCAAGATGAAAAGTGAGCAAAATAATAAAATAAATACACATAAAAATAAAAATAAAAAAAATGTCGAAGGAAAAAAAAGAAAAAAAGATAGATTCGTAAAAAGCGAAATAAATAATACAGAAATAGAATGCATGACACATAAAAAAAATAAAGGGGAACAAAAAGAAAAATATATATATGCAATGATCAATAAAACAAATAAATAGAGATAATTACATATATATATATATATATAAGAATAATAATATATATGATAATAAAACATAATATACTAAATAAAAAAATAATTAAAGATTTAAAAAAGGAAAATTGAAAATTAAAATACGAATTGGGTTTTAACTGGGGATTAAATTGAAAAGAAAAATAAATTAAGTGGCCAGATTAGGAGACAAAATGACGTGGACATCATATTTAGGGTCAGAATGAAGCCTCTTTAGAATGCGATGGACCAAAACAGAGATTTACTCATTTCACAGTGAAAACACGCGGGTTAGCTAAGCGGGTCGGGTCTGTGCACAGGTCGTATACGGGTAAGCGGGCCATGTATTTAAGTTAAAAATCTGTTTTAACTTTCATTTTTCCTTCCTCCAAACCAAAGCCATTCCTCTCTCTCTCTCTCGTTTCTCTGGACAGTTCATGTGTTCTTGATGAACCCATGAACGCCGCCGCCAAATCCAAATTCCGGCCGTCGTTGCTGGCGCCGACCGCCGTTCGCCGGCGACAAAATATAAAAAGTTTCGATTTTTTTTAAAAGCCCTTTGCCTCCTTTTTCAGAATATCCGAGTACTTTTTTAGGAAAACAAGCCTCGGGGTGTAAATCTAAGATCGAAAGTTCAAAAGATCCACCCCTCTGTCATCGGCCAAAACGTTTTTCTTTGGTGTTTTCAAGCACAAAACGCGAGTAACTACGCATGCAAGTAACCAAGAACGAACAAAATGAGGTAAAAACGCTACCTTTATTTCCTTTCAAACGTTTTACAAAGATTCGGCTTGCTTCTCTATATTTGCTATAGATGTGTGGTGTTTTTGTACCAGTTCCATTTTCATGAGATTACATCACTATTTATACAAAAAAATGCATGTTATTTTTAGCCTAGTTTGAGTCCTAATCAAACTCTAACTCTCATTGTTTGCTTGTGGGGGGTTGTTGATGGTTGCCGTGAAATCCGGTGACGGTTGCGTGCGTGGCCAGAGACGTGGGGCGTGGGGACTTGCTGGCTTGGTTCTGAAAACGGCACTGGACGAGAAACTGTTAGGGTTTAAGAACCCTAGTTGATCTGTATTGGGTCTGGCACATGTGGGCATGGTTGTTGTGTAACGGGCTTTGCTTTCTTATTTAGGCCTGTAAAGAAGAGAAATCAGGACATGTAAATAACATATATAAAATAACAAATAAATTATATATTATATATTATATATATAATTTTTTATGTAAGGACGAAAAATGTGTGTCTACAATGAGTAATTCGAAATAGCGAAGGCATGTGGCTGCTAGGATTTTCAAAAGCCGTGGGAATTTATTCAACAGTAGAAGCTGAATTATGGGGAGTATTAGAGGAGCTTAAGCATGCATGGAGACTAGGGAAGAGGAAAATAATCCTCGAAGCACTACACCTTCTAAGCAAGAAAGATAAGGACGGAAAACCACTGACAATACTTAAGCATGCATGGAGACTAGGGGAGAGAACATGGACGATCTCTTTATCACAAGTAGGTCGAAATGGCAACAAGACAGTAGATCAATTGGCAAAGCTGGCTAGGAAACGTGAGTTTGAAGGAAGAATCATGGCGGCACCTCCACCAGGGTGTGTAAAAATATCTAATCCGAATGATCTGATCTGTTTATCCAAAATTCGACACGAAATTTTAGATATCCGATCCAATTTTTTCCTGGATAATTTGAATTGGATATCCGAATTTTTTTTGGATAATCTGTTCAGATACGGACTGATTTCGGATTATCCAAAAATTTGAAATTAAATGGGCCTTTACCCTTTAGCCCTAAGCCCAATACTAATTCCCTAGCCCTATCTTGGTGACATCTCCTGATTCTCCTCATTTTAGACTTCAGCTTTCACGATTCTTTTCACGATAGTATTTTTCATCAACCATCAGCCCCTCAGTCTCTCACTCAATCACTCCGATCTACTACTGGGTTACTCACTTCAGTGGAAAGTGATCACGACGCTTCACTCTGCTAGTCTTCCGGCCGTCATTCCTCAAGTCTCGGTCAACGATGAATGAAAATCCATTGCAGGTTCCACTTCAATCTCGGGTAACGATGAAATTGATTTTGCATGTTGATTTTGTTCTTGATTTTAGTCTATAGAGACAAATACTAATTAGTAGTATATTGATTTTGCCCTAGATTTTGATTTAGCAGCAATAACAGATATAGCGTTGCTTAAAAAGTTTTGGGTACTTATTCTTCCGATTTTATCGGTGGGGGAAATGGGCTATGGTTTTAATTTGTTGCGAGGTGGTTGGTTAACTGTTCATAAAGTTCCAATTTGTAGGTAAACAGGTGTTTTGCCCCTAGAATTTTAGTTGGTCCCTTGAATTTTAGGTATCTCCTTTAAATTTAAGTTTACCTTTTTGACATAAAATCTTACATCAGTTATTAAATTATATATTATGTATGAGTATGACAGATATATCTCAACTCAACCTCAATGTTGAAAATTTTAAGCCAAAACCCTGATTCATGTTATTGATAAAAGCAAACCATTCAAGCCACCTACCTCCATTGCCCTTCTCACTTGCTTTGGTAGTTAGTTTCGGACCAAAGCCCACACCCACCAAACATTGACATTTAATGCTCTTATTGGTGTGTAGTAGAAACTTCAATGGGACGATTATGTAAATTACATTTCTCTATATACCAATTACCAAAACGTGTAATAAAAATGGGGGGATTTCCGTAAATAGTGAAATCCCACCATTTATGTATTGATGGATAAATCAAAATCGGAGGGTTGTGGTTGTAATTAGGGGTGTTCGAAAGTACTCGACTTGGTTGATCCAGTCTGTTGACCCGCCGAATGAATCTAAAAAAATTGGGTAATTTTTTAAAAAATTTACTCGATCGGGCTGGGTATTCAAACTGTGATTTTTTTCGAGTAGTTGGATCGGATCTGGGTCGAATGTTTTTTATAACCAGGTACCCTACCTAGCCCGATAGTTATAATATATATATATTAATATTAATATTAATATTAGTTTAAATTCCTAAATTCTTTCTAGTTTACATTATGTACTTTTTAACTTAAAAGTTTTAAGTTTAAATTTTTTTTTTAAAAGTTTTTATTAATTTGTTAACATGAAATTAGAAGAAAAAAAATCATTATCGGTTTTAATATTTTTAATGTTTTCCTTTGGAATATATATATATATATCCTCAAAACTAATTTTAAATCACTCATTTTTGTGTATTATGAAATTTTAAATTTTATTTATTTCTTATGTGATTATATAGTTTTTAAAATGATTAAATAAAGAATAAAAATATATATATGAACTGGGTACCGATGGCCCGAAAATGCGGGTAACCGGGTTTTAAGGGTATCCGACTATCGAGTACTCGAATTTAACGAGTCGGATCATGAGCCGACAAATATACTATCCGGAGAATTGAGAACCCGATACTTCGGGTACCCAAAAATGCAGGTATCCAGATTTGAACACCCCTAGTTATAATTACTCTTTGAAATCGATAGTCTATACTTAACGCATTCCATATGAATAATGCGATCATTATAGTAACAACTAAGTTACTTCAGTGGTTAAAAGTATGATTGTTGTCTTTAGAGGTCTTGAGTTCGTATATCAACATCTGTAGAGGTGTTTGAATGTTCATTGTTCAATGATTTAAAATCTTTAGAACATATATTATCTTATAATCATCTCAGTTTAATAAAAAAATTAATTATAATTTGTTTTTTTAGTATTAAATTAAAGTTGAAGATTGAGTCAGTCTCGTGTCTAAACTTTCTCAAAACTCTAATATTAGATTTGAAATCTTTATGGTTTAGGCCATTTTCGAGTTTGCTATTTTCCTTTTTGAGTTTAGTCCTTTTAAGAGACATGTTTTTAGGATTGCACTCATTTTTATCACCTTCATGTACATGCACGTAATTCCCTTTATGTACCTGCACGAATTAATTGCATGTACATGAAGGTGATAAAAATGAGCCAAAAAAAAATCATGTGCATACAATTAATTCGTGCAGCACAAAAGTATGAAAACTAACATATATAATGTTTTGTATGATATTAAAATTCATCCGATAAAATAATTATTTTGATTATTATTTTTCATCACTTTACCTCCAACGTTTTATTTTGAGGTAAAATATCTTTGATTAAATAAAAATCATTAGTTGACTAACAATCAACGCATGTCGTTGATATATTGTCATGTGCCAAAAATAATGATGTGACATGTTACGTGTTGAACGTGATAACATGATATATATCATGTGTTGAAAATAATAACATGACACACGTTACATGTCAAAAAATGATATAGTGAAACTTGTCAAGTCTTAAATGTAACATCTTAAAAGCTAACGATGTGACATATGTCTCATAACAAAAAGTAATGATGTGACACAAATTATCTATAAAAAAATAATGACATGTCATATTTCATATGTTAAAAGTGATGATATGACACATGTCACGTATTAAAATAATAATATAATACATATTATATGTCAGAAGTAATAACATATCATTTATCATATATTAAAAGATGTGACGTGACGTGACAATTTTATGTTAGTGACAAATGTTTGATAGTTAGTTAACTAATTATTTTTTTTCAATGAAAGGTCAATTTTCTCTAAAACGAAACGTTGGGAGGTCAAAGTATTCTAAAAAAATAAATGTTAAAATGATTATTTAATCAAATGTTAAGTATGTATAGATATATATCCTTCTGGTTCCCAAGGCTTCGCCTTGACTAATCCGAATCGACCCGGGCCACACATTTGGTTTTGGTGGGTGAGTCTCCCGTCGGAGATTTGTTGCATACATAAAGAGTCAAACTCAAGTAAGCTTATACGATATCAAGCTACTTACCACTTGAACTATCCGTTGGTAGTGTTAAGTATATTTTTTTGATATCATGTCATTATGTTTTGTTAAAGGTTTGGATCCTCAATGGGCCAAAAACAAAGACAGAGGTCCATTGGGTTTTTGGATAATTCCGGTTTCCTTTACTGCTACCATTTTCTTAGTTTAGCTATTGGATAATGTTCGATTCTCTTTATTTCATGACCACTCTATTCATTTAATCCAAAGAAGTGAGACAATAAGGATTCAGAGATGTGCCCAAATAAAATTTAAAATTAATGTAACAGAGAGAAAAGGAGAAGCACTTTTTCGATTACGCTCGGGTATAAATACTTCAATCGTAAGGTGATTGGCGGTAGACTTAAGGCCATCATAACTGTTTTAGACCGTGAGTTTATATTGATACGATTGTCAGTCATCGGATTTGATTGGTAAAATCACATCATAAATTAATGAGAAAGAACATTGAATAATTATATTGGAGATCATTAACATTTTGAGGTGGATTTGATCCGGAGATATAACAAGAATACGTAGAAACACACATCCCGGTAATGATTAGATACTTGATTCTAATGTCAAATATATTATTGCTGCAGCTGTAGAAGAAGATCATATTCATATGCTTCATATTATTTGACATCAATCAAAGGCCGGATGCTTTGATACTGAAGGAGTAGTAGATGCTTGTTCTACTCGAAATTACGAAGAAAACAACTATGACAGCAACGTTCGCTGTTGCAGACGTGTTGCGATTCTCATCAAGTGTACATGGACACCACTTGTACAAATAGGTCCAAAACCCAGAAAGAGAAACCTCAAATTCATTGCTTTAGAGTACAAGAGTTAAGTTTAAATATTAATTTGAAATAAGAAATTAAATTCAAATATTTAACTGGGTCAAAAAGTTTAAAATATTAATATATTTATCTTAAAATTAAATTTAAGTAACAGATTAAAATAAATATATATGCCAAAATAAACATTTTTGCATATGAGCATACTATATCCAAACTGTTCGCGGTTGGATTATACTTGTTACTGTATAAATAAATAAATCATAGGGTAATAGTGAGCGTCGATGGCAATTCATTAGATAAAAAGTATTAATATAAAATAGTGAATTTTTCGGTCTTTTAATAATGTGCATACTATAATTATTCAAATTAAAAATCTTTAAAGATAATAATATTATTTTTAATGGATTTAAATATAAAATATTATGATACGTGGGCAGATATGTATGAGTTACAATATGTTAGGCAATCATATAGTGATTTTATAAATTTGACTGGTGACATATCCTTTATAAAGGAACAAGATGTGCCATTGTCCTTTTTTGTGTGTGTTAACAGTTTTAGTATTAATCATAGGCTGGATGGCAACGGATCGGGTTAGGGTCAGGTTTTTTGTTAATTTTATCTGATCTAAAAATATATATTTTTCATTTGAATTCGACCTGATCCGAAAATTTTATAACCTCCGCTCAACCTTATCTAATTGGAAAATATATATTTTTCACCCGAATTCGACCTGATCTGAAAATTTTATAACCTCCGCTCAACCTTATCTAATTGGAAAATATATATTTTTCACCCGAATTCGGCCTAATCCAAAAATTTTATAACCTCTGCTCGACCCTATCTGACCGGAAAATATTTATCATCCACTCGACTCCGACCCGATCCAAATTTTTAGAGTATAAATCTAACCTGATAAAAAAAATAAGGATTTAATTAAAATAATAATTTTTTTAAGAAAATTACATTATCATCCTCGGGTTGGGTCAGGTAGGGTCGGGTCAGAGTTTTTTACCCCTCTACCCGAACCCAACTAGACCCGACCTCGTCCCTTAAAAAATCGACCCAACTTGACTCAAATCTAATTTTTTTAAAAAA